TTCTGTGTTAAAAAGGTGGAAATGAAGCAGAATGCAAGTAGGGTGCAGTACAGCTTTCCTGCCATATCCTGATTCTCAGGAAGATTCCTGTTGTGAACACAGACCTGGTTATTGTTTTTCCCTTTGAATACAGTGATACATAAAACATATGGTTTGTCTTACAGGATTGGAAGTCTTCTGTGATGATCCTGTCTTAGTAAAGACTGTGGAATCACAGACATGCTCCAAGATATTTGCTGTGGAAGTGCTGGAGAGGAGTGATATTCCTCTTCTTGTTCTTTATGACACTTCCGGAGAAGATGATATCAATATCAATGCTACTTGTCTGAAGGCATTGTATGACAAGTCCCTTGAACTGCACCTACAGGTACCATTTTCCTGTTTCCTTCTTAACTCATTAAAAATCATTGACTGCTAAGGTCTTGGATGAAAAAAATACAGTACTCAGAAATTTACTGACTTGGTGTGTGTGTTTTTTTCCCCTTTTCTTGTCAAAACTTTACTGTTGCAGGTTGATGTACTGTATACAAATGTCAGGGTAACCAGTGTGTTTTCAGACGGAAGCTTGTATTGCCAAGTGCCATGTAATGGCTTGTCTAGACTTTCAGAAGTCTTGCAGAAACTAGAAGACTACTTCCATTACAAGGTAGGTTCTATGGTGATAGAAGTGGTGAAGTCTGATGTAGCCTTTCTTCAGAGTGTACCAAACACTTTCTTTGCACATAAGTTCAAGTTTCTGAGGTAGCCATAGACTATTAAAAAAGGCTATAAATTCTCTTCCTAGTTTTTTGGGGTGCATCCTTCAGTGTGAAAAGTGTCTTTTGATGCTTTCTTGTTCACAAGCTGATCTCTAAGGCTTCAGTATCTACTTATATCCTTCCTTCAATAGTTAGAACACTAACAATATGGATTGTAAGAGGAAGCTTCCAATGGATGCTGCATCAGATTGGTATAAAGCCTGTGGAGCTACTGTCATTTTTTTTTTTCTGTAAGTTTTACTTACGTGGTGGAGTTGAGTTGCATAAACAGCCTGACCCACAGCGAACTGTGCAAAGTGAGAATAAAAGCAGTGTAACCAAGGTCTGTTCTTTTTAGCCTGGCTTCCTTGCAGCTTTGATGGCTTTGATGTGATCTGCTGCATATCTTGTCCTTGTACCCTCAGCTTTTGAATGTTGTGGCTAATTTCAACTAGAACTGATGTATGTGAGACGTTTCCAAAAGTCTTATATTGCTTTAAAATAGGTATGTGGCAGAGAAGTCTGACATTCCACTGGCCATTTACAGACCTACACAACCATTACTAGACTAGAGAGAATTTACACAAAAGAGAAGAAATCTTAAAGAGGATGTAATTTGTTCAACATTCAACTGAGCCTTAGAGAATCAAACCATGAAAAGCAGATCCTTGAAGGTCCTGTTAGAACTGCTGCTTCAGTCACTACTGTGACTAACTCTGTCAAAGTGTTTTTAGGCGTAGAAGCTGAGCTTTAGACCTGTTGTGGAACACACGCCATCTGGAAATACTTTATATTGAACATCTCACAATTATCAAGGTTCAGTTTCAAGCAAGCTAGACACTGAAGGGAAGGTTTAGCAACACAAAAGCAAGCAGCCAGACAGGTATTTCAAAAGTTCATATTTTCTGAACAGTATATGGTAAGTTCTTGTTGCTATCAAAGATTATGACCTTGACATTCATAATCTTTTAATATCAATACATATATGGGAGTAAAAGAAGCCATCTTGACTTTGCAGCTTATCTTGAAGGTTTTTATTTTGCCTGAGAATATAAATAAACTAAGGTGTTGATAGGTCTTCAAATGGAGTTTCTTCATGTTTTATATAGTGTAGCCATTGCCGTGATACGTTATTTAGGAACATTGTGGTGAATGTCACCCCCATGAGACTTTCATTTGTGTCAGTAGTAAATTTGGTTTGCTAAATATCTCAACAAGTGTTGTGTTCGACAGTATAAGGTAAGATCTTCAGTTTTCTGTCGCAGCTCTAAACTGTTTTTGATTTTCAAAACATTAAAGTAATGGTCCATGATTTTATATTCTGTGTTTCCAAATGTGTCTTTTTTTCCCCTGGCCTTTTCTGTTCTCTCAGTTTCCCTGTAAGACACAGAGCTTGGAATTAAAGCTTTACCAACTGAGGAAGCTTAAAATGACATGATAACAAATGCTTCTGAGGCTGGAAAGAGGCTTTATAGTTGAAACAGTGTTTTTGCTTCTCAGAATTGTTTACTCCATGGGTGTCTTTTGAAATGGTTAGTTAAGTGCCAGATAGTAATAAGTCCATGCTTTTTGACTTCTCTTTCTATATTTGCAGCAGACATCTGAGTTTAATGTATCACTACCTTTCTGTGGCAAAATCTGCTTGTTTCCTTCCAAAGGAAAATGGGCACGTGTAGAGGTAAGAAGTATTCAAAGAACAGCTACAGTTTTCCCATGAAGAAATGGTTCTTCTTTTTGTTCAGCTAGATGTGAATCTTTAGTTTCTGTGAAACTTGTTATAGTGTTTGTGTCACTATTGTTTTCTTAACCTCAAAAATGATGCTCTTACTTTCTTCTTCCAGATAAGAATTATTCACACTAGACGGGCACTTGAAGTGCAGTTCACAGATACTGGAAACATTGCAACTGTAAAAGTATCAGAGCTTAGAGAAATCCCACCACAGTTCCTGAGAGAAGTAATTTCAATACCTCCTCAGGTATAAAGCCATGTTAAAGCTAACCTAGGCTAGATGTCGTGTAAGTGTTTGTAGTGCTGCTACCTCAAGGTTTATGTAATGAAATTGTGTTTTGTTTAATAACATTCAACATTGGAGTTTATTTCATTGTGCATCTTTGCATTAAATGAATCCTAATATAGTCCTATGGATTGACAGTACATATTGTGTATGTAGAACAGTACTGGCTTTGCATGTTCCTCTGTCTCTTTCTGTTTGTCATACATTATTATTGAATCTGTCAGCATTAATGAAGTTTCTGTGAATAGGAAATATTACTAAATTATACCTTGTATACTTAATTCTGTTCTTAGGCTATAAAATGCTGCCTAGCAGATCTGCCTCCTAACACTGGCATGTGGACTCCAGATGCTGTACTGCAGCTAAGAGATGCTGTGATGAATTGTCCTGAATTTAGCCTGAAGGTAAATAGTCAAAATGCCTATGTAACTTGAAATCCATAGGTGTGTGGAAAGAGCGTTGAAAGAACAACTCCAGAAGCTTAACTGCTCATCAGATTGATTTTTGTAATAGAAGCCAGCTCTTGGACATAAATTCTATACAAAATGCTTTCCTTCAGACATTTGGCATAAAACTTACTTCCCTAAGCCTGTTAGAAGCTTCTCTTTTCCCCTCAAGATTTTAGCAACTTTCACATTTTGCTGTGTCACTTTAAATACACAGATAGAGGTATTTTACCAACTGATAAGAAAGAAACATTGTTGTTAATGTTTCACCACATAAAAAGATACAACTGTTAAATTAATCTTAAATTATTTTTATGCCTCTTGTGAGCATAGCTTTTTCTCCTTCTGGTCTTGGAAAAGCACTTTATTTTTTGTTTGCTTTTTCTAATCCGGTGTGATTTAGTGTATGCTATTGTATACTTAGAATTTGTGCTATCTTTGAGATAAAATTATTTCCACTTGCAATGTGTCCTACCCAGCTTAATTAACTGAAAACACCCTTCTGAGGGAAATACGTTACTAGCTACAGACTAAACAAAGCTAATTTCCTCTTAAAAATCAGATTCCAGATACTGTCCCGGCACTTTGAAAAGCTTATTTTGTAGCTTTCCTTTACCTTTTTGTTTGATTTAAGACTGGAGACTGTATAGTTAAAACATAGCTCCTCTAGTCTTGGAATTAGAAAAGCCAGATGGAACAGTCCTAAACATCCTCTTCCAAGATGGTTTGGTACTAATTTTCACTCGATTAATAGACAACAGATGTGTGCCTTTATTGTGATAAGTTTTTATTCCTGGCTAGGAACATCAACAGAAGAATCTGTAAAGAAATGCTATATACTTTGAGAAATTAACCTTTCAGATCTTTACTGTCAATAATGCTAGCATATCTGATGTTAAACAGGAAATATTTTTATATTGGTGCTTGAAAATTATGCATGATACAAACCTGGAAGCTTTCTTCGTATTTATTTATTTTCCATTCTTAATTTACTAATCTTCATCTCCCTTAATGACAGGAAGAGAATTCTGAAGGACTAAGTGCTAATATTTAATAGCATTACTTAGTGGTTTAGATCTGTATAGACAGTGGCTACTGTTCTCCCGAAAACTAGCATTGTACAGGCAGTTCCTTGGGCAGAACAAAACTCAATGCAAGCTTTGTATTTGTTTTACATTAGTGGAATACCTACAAATGCTCTTTTTAGCTTCTGTGAGTTGTTTACTATCCAACAACTTCATCAACATATTTGAGAGAACCTTGAAACATATTTGAGAGAACCTGCTTCTCTGCTAAAGGCTTCAGTCTTCTGTACAAAATCAGATGTGCATTTAATAGTTATTAACTGGAAGTTCAACTGCATTTTTTTTCCAAGGTGGCTAAACAGGATAGTTCAAAGGGAATTGCACACATTTACTTGTTTGCTCCAGAGAATTTCCCAGACATGGATCATAGCATCAATCAAAAGATCAAAAATGCAGACTTGTGGAAGCATCAGAAGGATGTTTTCTTGAGTGTTACACCCAGTGGAACTAGCTCCACAAAAGTGACAAGTGATGTTGTTTCATCTCCACGGTTAACTAGTGGAAAGCTAGAGAAGAGTTTCTCTGATTCCGCCAGAGAACCCAGCAGCAGTGCAGTGTCTACTATTGATATGCCTCCACCTCTACCCTTATCAAAGACTGGTGAGCTCATGGATGTCTATGTCTCAGTGGCCTGCCATCCAGGTCACTTTATTGTCCAGCCTTGGAAAGAACTACGTAATCTAGAAGCCCTAATGGAGGAAATGACCTTGTACTACAGCAGAGCAGAAGAGAAACCTGTGAACATTGAAAAAAACAAGCTGTATGCAGCTAAAATTGAAAATCAGTAAGTAGATACTTAAATTAAAAACAAAATCTTTGAAGGCAAGCCTAGCTCTGCTTTGTGTACATTGTTAACAAGGTGGCAGATGTCCAATGATATCATAGAATCATAGAATGGTTTGGATTGGAAGGCGCCTTAAAGATCATCTATTTCCAACCCCCCTGCCCTGAAGGGCAGGGTTGCCTTCCACTAGACCAGGTTGCCCAAAGTCCCATCCAGCCTGGCCTTGAACACCTCCAGGGATGGGGCAGCCACAATTTCCCTGGGCAACCTGTTCCAGTGCCTCATCACCCTCACGGTAAAAAATTTCTTCCTAGTATCTGATATAAATCTACCCTCTGAGAGATTAAGGGAGGCCATGAGGTTGCAGTTGAGATTGTAGTTGGAAGAGTTGGCTTCTATTCAAGTAACAGCAGATCTGGGAAGCCTGAGGATGTTGGTTAAGATCTTTTGTTCTTGTACTGTTTCTCTGGTGCCTTGACAGTGTGTGAATAGGAATTCAAATTGTCTCTGTTCTTGTTCTCCCCCTTTTTAGGTGGTACAGGATCATAATAAAAGGAATTCTTAGAAATGGAGTTTTGTCGGTATATGAGTTGGACTATGGTAAACATGAGTTTGTCAGCATAGAGAAAGTACAGCCACTCGTGGATGCGTTTAGAAAACTACCTTTCCAAGCTATAACAGCTCAGCTTGCAGGTAGGTAGTAAGCATTTACTTTTTTTTTTTCGGTTAAAGTCTGACATCAGTGGGGATACCAAATGAACAGAAATGTGAAGTGGACAAAGACAAAGGTTAATGTACCAGCTTGCAACAGCATACTTAATCCATGTATGTTTATGTCATCAAGTAGCTCTGCTTTTCTTCTTGATATAGGTAGTGATGGTTCTGTTTTATTATTTGTTTGTTTATTTTAATGCAGCACTTTTAGTTACCGTGTATAAAACTGAAGATTGCTTTAACTTTCCCTGCAGCTGCTTTTCATTGTTGTAAATATTTGTCATTTAATGTGTGTGGTGTCTAATATTCAAAGGAGACAAGGAAATCAAAACTAAATGTGTTTTGGATCCTGTGAAGTGAGAAAGTTATATCTGCTAATAAGAACTTATGTTCTGATTATCCTAATGTATACAAAGTTAGGAACTAGATGCTGAGTTTCTGGAGAAGTTTTTCTTATATATCTTGCCCCTGTTGTCATTTAGTGTTTTCCAGTGCTTATTTGGAATCCAAAGTTGGCTGAAATATATTGCTGTTCTCAAACAAACAAACAAAAAATTTCATAAAGTGGGGTGGGGGCTTTCAATGGATTTAAGATTTATTTCCTTGAGAATATATGTCATAGAGAGTATGCATACATCTTAGCGAATTTAAAAGAAAAAAAAAACAACTTGATCTCTCCTTGCTGTCTTTTCTTTCTTTTACCAATTTTTTCTTTCATTTCTGCATTGCTTTCAGATGCATGTGTCTCTTATTCAGTTGCTGCTTTCTGCTGCAGTTTGGTTAGCACTAGCCTAGACTTCAGTTGCAGAATATGCTTGTCTGAAGTGACAGGCCACAGAGCTGGTGCTCTGATCCTAGGCTGCCTTCTGTGGATCTGGTTTCCTGAATAGCCTCAGTGTGAGCTTGGTGGTTGCTTTAAACTGGTGATGATGGAGGTGTTACGGACAGCCTGGGGTCCTAGGAGTGCAGTGCTGAAATGAAGCTGATTTCTAGCTGTGTCTGTCTACTGGGGTAGTACAGGATCCAGCTGAGCAAGCCTGCAAGTCATGCAGTTTTCCTGCTTCATAGAATCCCAAGTAGCTAGTTAAGTTGGCCTCTGAGCAGCTTCATGTTGTCAAAGCACACCAGCTGAGCCTGTAAGACTATTGTCTTCCCATTCTGCTTTTTCCTCTCTTTTTTCATGTCTGCTACCTCTGTCTCTGGTCTGTTTCCTTGTAAAATGCCATTTGCTTCCCCAACAGCATTTCCTAGCATTAATTACCCTTTCTTAACTGTTGATTTCTCATTCCGTCTGTAACCTGCAAGGAGCTGAGTGCCTGTGTTGTCCTGTCCTATCAGCAGTGAGGTGCTGCTAAAAGTAAAAGCAAAGTGTTGTCACTTTGCTGTTTTGCTTCTTTTATCCATACTTTGTTGTTTGGGTATTCATGCACAATATTTGAGCCCCTTGTGTCTGCATGCTGTACACCAGCAGTGGTCTGGGCAGACTGAATTCCAAGTCTGCAGGAGCCACTTGTTTCTTGGTGGGTTACAGCCATACTCAAAAACCTGAGTTCTAGCATCACATCCCTGAGCAGACTTGACTTTGTGAGATGCTGCTCTCAAAAAAGTAACAGCAGTTGTGAGGCATTTGGGCAGCATTTCTCTTAATTTCTGCTCTCTGCAGATCTAGTTTGGGAATTGAGGGTTTGGCAGATGTTTTAGTAGCTGATGCTGCTTTGAAATGAAGAAATCTTCATCTCAAGCGAGGCCAACAGGAGAAATAGTTTCAGGAACCTCAAGCAGAAGACAAATAGTTTGTTTCAAAATTATTTTTGTTATGTTTCCTAATATGCCTTAATCATCCGTGGCAGCTGATACACTCTGAAATACTCAGTGAGTCAGTGCATTTGCATTTCACTTCTGCAAACTTGTTCATATCTTTAGACTTCAAGAAAAAAAAAGTCCTAGTCTCTGTAATAATTAAGAAGCTTGTGGGGGGGGGGAGATGAGCGAGCTTGTGTTTCTTTCCTAGAGTTAAGCTGCATTCAGTAGCACTTGAGCATCTGTTTTCTCGAGTATTTAAACTTCTCCCACTTCTTTATAAACTTAATAGTTCAGATTGGTCTAGTCTATAAATGACCTTCTGTTCTGCTTTAATTTGTCCTAGGAGTGAAAAGTCAGCAGTGGTCAGAAGAAGCATCAATAGTGTTTCGGAATCTTGTAGAGAAGAAACCCTTGGTGGCACAGATACAGGCAGTTAATGAAAGCACTAACTCTTGGGATCGAAAAATAGTGACTTTTCTAGTGGACACATCTCTTCCAGATACTGATATATGGATTCATGATTTTGTGTCTCAGAGTCTTGTGGAATTTTCCAAGGATGATTAATCATCACTTCTGAAATGTAGCAGCTCAGATTATTTAGCAATAAAATAAGTAACAGGCTTTGAAGAGAAATATAACTACTACATGGCCTTGAAGACATGAAGGGGATAAAATTGAAAAATCTGTGTTCTGTGGGACCGGTTTGTTTAACAAGTTTGGGTTCCGTTGACTTTCTGAAAATTTGCACTTTGTTTACCACTGTAATGCTAGAATGTTTGGGTGAAAATATTAAAGAAGTTATTTATCAATTAAAAAATGTTGACTTTTGTTTTTATGACGTTTCCGTAATTCTGGGGAGCTTTTTATCTCATAACTATTGCTCAGAGCCATTACTGGGTACCTCTCCCTTCAGCTAACATTTTTATTACTTGGGAAACATGGAAACAGTCCTCAGTATTTCTGAACTTAGTGTCATTGGTGGGTTTTTCCCCTTTCCTGAACTCCATAGGAGATGAATAGTTGAAAGTGCCTTGTTTGGCAGTGCATTTGTGGGGCTTAACTTTCACAAAGGGTATTGTTGTAGTTTTGACCCTGGCTGGTAGCCAAAATACAACAACCACTCGCTGGAAATTCACTGGAACTCCATAAATGCCAAACACAGGTAGGATGTATCTGCAAAAGCCCACCTGATTCTCCCTTGGGATGTGGAGATGGAGTGTGTAATTCTTGAGACCCTGCCCAAGATAACTTTCCAGACAGAAAAAGGGAATGTAGCATTGTTAAACATGTTTTGTGGATCACTATGAATTTTATAAACTGGAAAATGAGCATTCGTTACCTAGGGAAAACAGATGACACTCTAATAATTAAAGAAAACAAAGCAGACCTCTTACTTTCCCAAGCACTTTCAAACCACCTCTTTTCTGTTTATTCCATCTCACCTTTATTTTATTAAGCTTACAAAGTTTTAAGTTTACCGGTTTTCATCTCCTAGTGTGCTCACTCACCCTGGGTTGTTTTGAGGAACTCTTTCCTCAGAGAAACTTGTGAATGCTCTTTGCCATCCTAAAATGAGTCCGTATCTCCAAGGCTTCAACTCCCCATTCAGGGATACTTATTGTTGCAAAGCTCTTTCATCCCTGTGCTTTCACCGCACCCATCCTTTGTTCTCACAGTTGCTGCACATCAGGCCAAACTTTGAGCACTAGATTCTCACCTGCTGATTGTGTTAGATGAGAAAACTGATAAAGAATCATGCAATGACAAACACCCCTCACTTTAAACTTTCATAATGCCTGAAAGCTTTATTTTGTGTTCTGTTGATTGCTGATATTTTCAGACCTGAAGTCTTGAACAGGAGGATTGTCCTGCTTGTGAGATTAGAACTTGGCTAATGCAAGAGGGGCTTGTGACTTGAGCAGACATGCTTGAAGCATGCCGAGCCATTATCCTGAGAGCTGTTTTGAAGAGGGGCTGAGGTGTAGTTGGAGTTAGCAATACTTGGTGTCTTGTGAGCAGTACTGCAAGGTGCGTTACTTGCAGCATTCATTCCTTGCAGCATGTCATGGTGGACAGCTTAAAAAAGAATCATCACTGATACACTGAAAACAAATGTGCTGAGGAGCTGGGTTAATGTCGTGCCTGATGGAGACAGGCTGAGTGCATTCTAAGGGGACTGCAGCACTCACCTTGGATGAGCTCCTGGTGCCCACAAAACAAGATGTGACAGCAGCCAGCTGGGATAAAAATGAAGTAGCTTGTATGAATCTCAGAGTGCAAAGCCAACATGGGCTTGTAGGGAAGGTCGGTGGTGCCGCTGGATCCTTTCCTGAGCTGCTCACAGCTTGCGCACCCTTGAAAAAGACAGCTGGTAAGCAGGCAGCACAGATGCTGGCGTCTGGGTTTGTTTGATCTGGTAACCATCAGGCTTCTTGAGCCTGAAGAAATTCAGGCATTTGGGCCAGTCAGTGGGTGAACTGGGTGGTTCTAAGTGTCCTTTTCACTCCTGCCAGCAGCTGGGATGATGCCAGTGACTTGGGACATAATCCTGCTCGCTTCTATGAGGTATGCAGTGAATCCAGGGCTTGGCAGGGTTCTCATTTGTATCTTTCATTTGGCCTAGCCATGAACAATATTTCCAGGGCTAACTGGATCTTTCTCCTAATGCCACAGGACACAGAACCTCAGCCTCTGCCAGGTCAGATGCATGACGAGCAACGGTGCGGGGGGGGGGAGAAGGCAAATAAGTATCATCTCGTGGAGACAGGGCACTCTCAAATGAGGGGCATCGATAGGCCTGGGGCTAGGTGTGGGGCTGGAGAAGCGTTCAGAGGGATTGTCCTCCTCTAATGCACTTGGGGCTCTCAGCACTTCTGCCTTGTGGCTGCTGATGGAGACCAGACAGCAAAGATGAGGAGCTTGGGGATACTTTGTGGGAGATTTGTTAAAAAAGATTATAGGACAAATCTGTGAGGCTTTATGGTGACTCAAAGGTGAGATTTAGCAGCATTGTTATTTGTTGACACCATGAGGTTGGAAGGCAGCTCTCTGGGCTCATAGCAGACTTGGATCTGCTCTAGGAGGTGGCTGTCACTGGATGTACAGGGGAAATTGCCAGGGAGTAAAAAAAGACACAGAATCAGTAGGTGCATTGATACAGATGGTATTTGTAGGGAAGCAGCTTTTATAAAGTGCCGACACTTGCCACCGCAGAGCCCCAGCAGTGCTGGTAGCAGGGCCATCCCCAGCCAGAGGCCAGCGTGGCCACGAGTTGGTCTGGCTGACCCTCGAGACCCTCCTGCTCTCCCATCCCAGGGCTGCTCCCGGGGAAGGAGGTTCTTTTCCGCAGCCTCGGGGTGCTTTGCGGTGGCCTGTCCGAACCGAGCCGTGCAGATCGTACCGGTCTTCCCAGACGCGGGTTTGTCCAGGCGCCCGGCTCGGCAGTCTGAAGGAAGCTGCCCCAGGACAAAAGGCAGGCTCCGGCACGCACAAGTCGTTAAAAGCAGGAAAGACCCTTCGGCAGCAAATGCTGCCCT